TATTAAAAAACAGGCTGTAAAAGGCTTTTCAAAACAGACAACATGTGCTGCAGGGAGGGGTTAAGACAAACCTCCTCAAGATGGGTGTTCCAAATTCTGTGTTGTGTTACATGAATGACTGAGAAGGAAATGAAATTGCGCCAGCCGAAGTAGGTGAAACACATATTATATCTGTACAGATAACCCTTATTATTTAGAACCTCAAATGTGAAGAGGGCTGAATGTATAACCACACAACCCAGGCTTCTCATAATGAATTGAAAGCTCTGGAACAAGATGGTGGTTAAATTCAGCTGAACACAACAACTCATCTCAACATAATTAGAAACCTTGTGCCATGTTCTTCCATTCTTCCTGTTTGTTGTCAAGGCGGTGATCCAAATAACAAGCGCCTGCGTCAAATAAAGGACCAAGTTCTGGCAGATTCCAAGTATAACCCTAAGACCCTTTTCCAGCTTCTCCTGGATACAGCTCAGTTTGAATTCATCTTGAAAGAGGTAAAAATATCAACAGACATTTTATGCCCTCTGGAATATCTCCCTAAATGAAACAGAGCTACAACAAATGGTCTTTGTTGAAGTTTCCCCACTGCACCTCTTTGCCTTGCCAAAGAAGGAAAACCACTTTTTCATTTAAAGAGGGTTGCCACTTCGGCACATGGTGGCAGCGTCAAAGAAACCTCTGACTCTTTAGCCTTTTCCTCCTGTTTTTAGCATAGACCTGGGAAATCTTTGAAACTATGCCAGTTCCTAAGATGGAAATTTTGTAGTTAGGATAGGGCTTTCTGTTCTAAACTAAGAAGATCTTACCTTTCTGTGTTAGATGTTCAAGCAAATGCTTTCCGAAAAACAAGCAAAATGGGAAAGCTACAGAAAAGAAGGTTCGGAAAGGATGGCTGAATTGGCTGATGTCTTTTCTGGTGTTAAACCTCTAACAAGAGTGGAGAAAAATGGTAGGTTGACATATATTTATAATAGGTTCGGTCTATTGTTTATTTCTCATCCCTCATACATTGTAGAGGTAAGGTGATGGTGACCTACTGCATATGGAGCCAGATAGCAGTTTCTAGGCCCACATTGGTTTGCTGTATCTGGCAGTTCAGCGTTGTAACCACTACACCAAATGCTGATCAAATACAGTTTCATATTTTTATATATTATTGTGAGACTTGTTGATTGGGGGACCAAGCCTCCCGTGAGTTGACATGGTTTTGACTCCTGAAGAATACAGAAAGCTAAAAAACATTTCTCCTTTTCTTACAGAAAACCTACAAGCCTGGTTCAGGGAAATCTCCAAACAAATAATGTCTCTAAATTATGATGACTCTACTGCAGCGGGCAGGAAGACTGTGCAGTTAATACAGGCTTTGGAGGAGGTAAGACAGTCAGCTTTGGAATATTCATAAAGCTAGAAAATGTGTGCTGCTTATATACCACCTCATAGCACTTAAAGCACTCTCTGGGTGGTTTACAATTTTATTATCCAGACTACACATTGCACCCCACCCACCCCTGGGAAGCTGAGTTTTCAATTTACCAACCTTGAAAGAATGAAAGTTTAAATTAACCTCAAGACGACGATCTGGGATTAAACCTGGATTGTGCACAGAGTTTGGGCTACACAACTGCAGTTTAATCCCTGCACCACAAGGCTCCTATTCATACTATTTAGCACATAAGTTGTTTTGTAGACCTGAGCAACTGTGTTCATGAGACCATACTACAAAACCTACATCATCAAGGAGCTATCCATCAGCACATCCTCTGATATTCTGGAGACTTGTTGATATATTTTTATTTCATGATCTATCCTATTTTTCCTCCAGAGCAAGAGTGCAGGTCCTGTGTCCAAATCGAGCCTCTCCTTGTGCCCTCTGTTGCTTCTTAAAGAGTCACAGGGAACCCTTTAGATCAGGGATTCCAAACCTTGGGCCTCCAGATGTTCTTGGACTTCAGCTCCCAGAAATCCTGTCCAGCAGAGGTGGGGGTGAAGGCTTCTGGGAGTTGCAGTCCAAGAACATCTGGAGGCCCAAGGTTGGAGACCCCTACTTTAGATTGTCTAGTAGTGGATACTATCTTGGGTGCTAGCTTTTTGCTGTTACGTCCACACTACCCCTGGGATGTTGTCTGTAAGAATTTTTCTGAAGTTGAGTTTGCTTCCTGGGTTGAAAGCAGTAGTGTATCCTGTTGCCAAGGATCTGTATATGCTCTTCTCCCACCGTCCACCCCATCATTTACTTAGTAGCACAAGATTTGGCCATGACCACATGAGGTAGGAGGTCTCCTGCCTTGGGCAGGGGGTGGGACTAAAAAAAGGGACTCCAAGGTCCCTTCCAACATTAGGACGATTCTATGATTCACCCCAGTGAGCTGCTTTGCTGAGCAGTAGCCTGAACTTGGCCTCAGCTGAGCCGACTTAGTCCAGTGTCCCCAACAACAGGGCAGGAGTCATAGCATTATCATGGAATAATGGAAGGGGTCTGTAAGGCCATTGAGTCTATTCCCCTCCTGCCTTCCACTGCCTCCCGGAGTTGGGTCAAATTCATGTTGGTTGCTTCGGTGACACTGTCCAACCATCTCATCCTCTGTCGTCCCCTTCTCCTCTTGCCTTCACACTTTCCCAACATCAGGATCTTTTCCAGGGAGTCTTCTCTTCTCATGAGATGGCCAAAGTACTGGAGCCTCAGCTTCAGGATCTGTCCTTCCAGTGAGCGCTCAGGGTTGATTTCCTTTAGAACGGATAGGTTTGTTCTCTTTGCAGTCCAGGGGACCCTCAAGAGTCTCCTCCAGCACCACAATTCAAAAGCATCAATCATCAAGAATATAATATGCAACAAATTGGTTATCTGATTATACTAAAGTTTCCTATTCAGCCCAATCATGTAATTGATATAGTAAGTACACCATGGAAAGTACATTTATATAGAGCTAGCATAGTATAGTGTAGCAATGAAGGGGCTACTAAACTGATCTTTGGGGAATCGAGGATCAGCTCCCCATGTAACTTCACTGGGTGACCTTATCACTTCCTCTCAGCCCGGGCTAACTCACAAGATTGTTGTGATGGCTGTGGAGGAGAGAGGGACATGTATACCACCTTGAACTCACTGGAGGAAATGTGAACTATAAACGTATATAAGGTTCAATAAATAACTGAATAATCGACCACCAGGTTCCAAAGTTTTTGAACAGCTTAACATTTAATGTCATGCCAAGGTCAGATTTCTTTACGAAATATGCAAAGTTTAAATCCTCTGTGGGATTGAGTGGGGTCCCTTAACTCTTACACGCAGGTTCAAGAGTTTCACCAGCTGGAAACCAACCTGCAAGTTTGCCAGTTCCTAGCCGACTCTCGCAAGTTTCTCCATCAGATGATCCGCACCATCAACATCAAGGAAGAGGTTTTGATCACCATGCAGATAGTCGGTGATCTTTCGTACGCTTGGCAACTCATCGACAGGTATGTCTGTCCTGGCTAGATTTATGGAGCACAAAGGGATCAAAAGGGGATCTTTATAATGCTCTGATCCTTCGTCCAGATAGCATATAGCATATTTCTGGTGTTCTTTTGGTTGGGACCCTCAACATGTTGTTGGATGGCAACTCCCGTGGGTCCTAGCCAGAGCTGTTTTGCACGTCACCACCGTAGGTTTCAATGGAAGGAGGCAGAGACCCTTGGGGAGATCTACATACCGTTCTCCTCTTCACACCAAACAGGATCCTGGAGAGCAGCACCAGGTTATTTGGTCCTGTTAAGCAAGCAAGGAAACAAAAGCCAGTCTTCAGCTATTTTATACCAAGCTTTGCTGGTCCTTAATGTCATCTGGAAGGCAGAGACCCTTGGGGAGATCTACATACAGTTCTCCTCTTCAGACCAAACAGGATCCTGGAGAGCAGCACTAGGTTATTTGGTCCCGTTAAGCAAGGAAGGAAACAAAAGCCAGTCTTCAGCTACCAAGCTTTGCAGGTCCTTAATGTCATCTGGAGGCTGGAAGAGACCCTGTGGATCATCAACTTTAGCCCCTGTCAAGGAGGCCCAGTCAAACTGGCCCTGCAGCCAGATGCCTACACCACTGAGCCATCTAGCAGTTCACATCCCTGTTCCATAGCGAAGAGAGCCCTGAATCCTGTATGATCCTCTCTGTGCATCAGATAACAAGGACGTGTACCATTAGAAATGTAGAAACATAGAAGGCTGCCTTAAACTGTGTTGGGCATTTTCTGCATCTAGTCCAGTATGGTCTGCTTTGGCTGGCAGAGGCACTCCCAACATCTCTGGAAGACCTCTCTCACAGCGCCTGCCACCTGATCTATTGAACGGGAGTTGCTCTGAGATGAACGTGGGACCTTTTCCACGTAAAGCAGGTGCTCTGGCACAGAACTGCATTTCCTTGCTAAACATCTCTTCTGTCTTTCCCTTCCTTGAAACATGTGGAACACATGAACAGTTTCCTAACTTTGAGAAAGAAAGGTTCTGCCCTAACTTTCTCATTGATGGGTTGGATTTTTATACACAGGCATTTGTTTATCTGCATGGAGAAGCTGGTTCTCGCCTTGCACAGTGAGAGGATGATGCAACCATATTTACCTCCTTCATGGGAACTTGATCCTGGAACGATGACTTCAGAGACCCTCCTTCATGGGAACTTGATCCTGGAACAATGACTTCAGAGACTATAGTCCTGCTTGTAATTTCTCTGTTTTCTTTTCTTTTTTCTTTTTTTCTTCCAGTTTCACTTCAATCATGCAGGAAAGCATAAGAGCCACCCCATCTATGGTAACCAAACTCAGAGCCACATTCTTAAAGGTTAGTAGGTCAATAAAACTGATACCAGGTAGACATTTTACAAAACCCAGTCCATTTATTTCTGCATAGCACCATCACCTCACTTTGAAGTCAAAAGTTTTCCTTAACGATATTTACATTTTGGTGTCTAAACGAGAGCGTGGGGTGTGTGTGTTTCCCACTGAAATGCGAGAAAAGTCCAGAAATGAAGGGTATGTTTCAAGCACTAGATTCTCAAAATTTTTCAATTGTACTCTGACCCCATTCCACATCTGTTCTAGATGAAAGCATTGATCCCTCTCTTTTTTTCATTTTCCCAGAAAAAAAGTTGTGAGTAGGGCTTGGAAAAGTTATGTTTTCAACTACAGCTCCCAGAATCCCCTAGCCAGCATTGCTGTGTTGATTGCAGATTTCTGGGAACTGTAATCCCAAAGATAATTTTTCAATGTTCTGGCCGCTCAGAGCGGTTTACATTTTCGTAGCCCCTTTCGATCAGCATCTGTCTCGCTGCGTAACAACACAAATCCTTCTCCTTTCTGATTTTAGTTGGCTTCAGCCCTTGATATGCCACTGCTTCGTATCAATCAAGCCAACAGCCCTGATCTTCTCAGTGTGTCACAATATTATTCTGGTGAACTGGTGTCCTATGTGAGAAAAGTAAGACCTTCCTTGAAATCCTTCTGCGAATTGATTACTCGTTTGTTACTTATTTCCCTTCAAGGAAAGGGAATTTATTTATCGACCTTGCAAAAATATATATATATTTTCTTTTGGCAAAAAGGTTTTGCAGATCATTCCCGAAAGCATGTTTACCTCCCTCCTGAAGATTATAAAGCTGCAGACCCACGACATCGTTGAAGTGCCTACCCGTTTGGACAAAGACAAATTGCGGGATTATGCTCAGCTCGGGCCACGATATGAGGTACTTCTCGATTTAAGAACTTCAATGGGGACCTTCTAAACATTCATACAGATTAAGATGGGTCCTTCTTGCTATTGGACCCTGGGAGCTGAATTCCCAAACAGTGACTACTGGATGAGAGGTTCATCATACCTCCAGGGGTGGCTTACAAATTTGGGTGTCCTATAGAGTAAGGTAAAGGTAAAGGTTCCCCTTGACATTTTTAGTCCAGTCCTGTCCGACTCTAGGGGGCAGTGCTCATCCCGTTTTTAAGCTGTAGAGCCAGCGCTTGTCAGGAAGACAGTTTTCTTGTCATGTGGCCAACGTGACTAGGGAACGTCGTTTTGCCTTCCCACCGTGGTGGTACCTATTTATCTACTTGCATTTACATGATTTCAAACTGCTAGGTTGGCGAGGAGCCGGGACAAGTGACAGGAGCTCACTCCATTGCGTGGATTCGATCTTACGATGGCTGGTCTTCTGACCCTGCAGCACACAAAGGCTTCTGCGGCTTAGCCCGCAGCACCACCACGTTCCCCCTAGCCTAGCAAGTAGCAAACATGGAGATGTTCCAGACTGTAATTGATATGTAGATGGAAAGAAGAGTTCCTTAGCCATGACTTGATTTCCTGGCCCACATCACTGTAATTGCTGCCTCGTTTATCGGACAACCCAACTTCTTCTCTTCCTCTTCTCAAAGGTTGCTAAACTAACACATGCCATCTCGATTTTCACGGAAGGCATCCTGATGATGAAAACGACCTTGGTTGGCATCATCAAGGTAAGGTCCCTTGTTTCAGCAAGCTGAACCACAAAGAAGCAAGCCAACTCTTATCTCCCAGGCTTCATGTGTAAAGGAATAGCAGCACTATAATCCCGAGACACACAGACACACCCATCTACTCAGACTTATTGTAGACTTATGGATGTCTCAAAAGCAGGTGTATTTGCCACCCAGGTATCCAGAATCCTTTCTGTATCACTGTTCCTGGGATTAAAACTGGGATATTAGCACGCAAGACACGTTGCTTGTACGCTAGAATCTCTGCCTAACACATCACCCCTCACACCTGGTGTTGTCTAGGTATACCTGACGCTAGCTTCCATCATTCCAAACTACCCTGAGTTGGCTTTGCTGTCTGAGTATCCTGGGAATTGTAATCTGTAACACATCTGGAAAGTGCTGGGTTAGGGAAGGCACTTATAATCTGAAATTTTTCTATGTGTGGAGGTGTGCACCGTCCTGTTCCTAGAACTGATGCTTTTATCCAGAATGAATCACTTAGAAATGTTGTTAAAATAGTTCAGCAAGTTTACAGTGGTGCCTCGCATTATGATGTTAATCCGTTCCAGCAAAATCGCTGTAGAACGAAAACATCGTAATGCGAAAATAAAAAGCCAATTGAAACACATTGAAATCCCTTCAGTGCATTCCAATGGGCTGGAAACTCACCGTCCAGCGAAGATCCTCCATAGGGCGGCCATTTTCGGTGGCTGTCTTGCGAGGAATCCATCCCAGAAAACAGTGGGGAGCCATTTTATTTACCTGGTGGCCATTTTGAAACCGCCGTTCAGCTGGAGGAAAATCGTTGTTTTGCAAAGAATCGGTTCCTGAAGCAGGGAACCGATCATAACAAAGCGAAAAAAACCCATTCAGACCATCGTTTTGCGATCACAAAAAGATTGTCATAATGCGGTTTTGTCATAATGCGGGGCAATCGTAAAGCGAGGCACCACTGTATTTGACTACAGAGCCAAAGGTCAGATGTTTGATTCCCCATCGTGCCTTCTGGAAGAAGGGCCTGTCTTTTTAGCCTTGGTCTCAGAAGAAAGAGTCTGGAAAACCACTTCTGAGTACTTTCTATCTGGACAACTTTGGAAAGGGTCACCATAAGTTGAATTTGATTTGGCCAACACACAGTTATGATCTTTACTGCCAGATACCTTGATGGTGGAACTGGTTCCTAAAAGGTGTCACAGTGGTTCCATCTTCGTTGAACTTCTGACAGGCCACCCAAACTGTATTATGTCTAGCTTTTGGCTTTTAAGAAATGTTTTTTATATAACTTTCCAAAATCTGTATTGAGGTGACACCTTTCTGGGTCAACAGAAGTGTGTATACAGAAGTGTGTAGAGGCACAAAGAAATGCACAGGCTTTTGTGAGGAGACTCTCTTCATCAGGTGAGATGTTAAAAGGGAAGGAGGGAGAGAAATGAAAGTGGAGGAGGATACAATATGACCACCCCTATCCATGGGATCAGTATCTGCTGATTGCTTATCTGCTTTCTTAAAAGTACTAAATAAAAATAACCCCAAAATATGTATTTATATGTATTTCTACTGTTTATTTACCAGAACTGGCCACTAGGGGGGGACAAAGACCACGCAATGTATAGCGTTCAATACTTCCGCATTTCGGACCAATTCCCCCATGGATACCACATTCCTACGATGACTCAAAAGCAGAGTCTTTATTGCCTGCATTTTGTTTCTTGTAGCAGGCTAAAGAACTAGGAAACAAGTTGTGCAAATGTATGTTTTTTAAAAAAAACAACTGCATATTTGTGTGCCTCTTTCAACTTTTTTTGTAACTATTTGATCAGCACGTAAAGCTATTGACATGGATTTCAGATTTTTTTAAAAAAAAAATTATTTTATTATTATTATTGGCCACACAGCTATCACTGCTTTTGATTATGTGTTTTGTTTGTATATTGGTTTGGAGAGTCCTGTTGGGTAGGAAAGCTATTACTATACAAGTGAAAATTAAGATTAAAAGCAGGAAGAAAGCTGGCATAAATCCAACATATACAGGTATCATCACCTCTTAAAACAATTCTGTGCAAGGCCCCTTGTATTTGACTTTCCACAGAGTTAGGCAGCCGTTGTATTTGCAGTTGTAGAGGGGGGAGAGGTCCTTAGGTTTGATTTTATTTTCATTTGTAGACTTGACTTCTCTCTGGCATGTCTCTTTCCCACCTAGGTAGACCCAAAGCAGCTTCTGGAAGACGGGATAAGGAAAGAGCTGGTAAAACGGGTGGCCCTCGCTCTGCACCGAGGACTCATTTTCAACCCCAAAGCCAAGGTGCCAAACAAAAAACCCTCCCCAATTCTGCCCCTTTTGATCTTTGCTTGGCCTCAGCTGGCTGTGATGGAATGCAATACCTGTAGGGGCTGTTCGGTTAAAACAGAGAAGGCCATTGTCTCTCAGGCACTCCAGGCTGAGCATAGAGCTCTCCCCCCACGGGGGGGCTCTCGCAACCCCTTCCAGCATGGGTAGTGTTTGCTTTCTCACTGCTTTGAACATGCAGCGGAGGGCGGCACACAGCAAGAAAGCAAGTTAGCCTCGAACCTGGATTTACACAGATACGACAGCATTGTTGGGAAACAGGGAGGGCCTGGTGTGTGACTCTGCTGGCAGGAATAAGTAAATGCAAAAAGGCATACCTGCCTCCCCCTCCATGTCCCCTTTTTCCACATCACTGTGGCCGTTTACTTCCAAGTCAACTTGCTTTTCGGTCATGGTTTTTCCTAATGGCTGCCCAGGATACTGGTAAGGAAGCACTGGGCTTAGCCCCCTGAAGAAGGTATCAGAGACTTCTCTGAAGAAGCTCCAGAAAAAAAGTCCCACCAAACAGAGGAACATCTCCCATGAGGATTATGACTGGAGTTTGCTTCCTTCATTTCATGATGCCATCTTTTCAAATGTTGAGTTTGCTCTGAAATCACCTTGCCTCTCTACACAGGAGAGACTACAAGCCTGCTTTGATTAGGACTGACTTCTAGTTATTTCTAGGCATCCAGATTAATATACAGTGGTGCCTTGCTTGACGACGTTAATCCATTCCAGCGAAACCGCTGTAGAGCGAAATCGTTGTCAAGCGAAATTTTAAAAGCCCATTGAAATGTATTGAAAACTGTTCAGTTCATTCCAATGGGCAAAATACCTGCTCGTCCAGTGAAGATCCTCCACAGGGCGGCCATTTTCTGCTCCCTGTATAACGAAAAATCCGTCCTAAAAACAGCCATTTTGCACAGCGGGTGGCCATTTTGGAAACCCGACAGTCAGCTATTTTGATCGTTGTAAATCGAAAAATCGGTTCCCGAAGCAGGGAACCGATCATCGTAAAGCAGTTTTTTCCCATTAGAACATCGTTTTGCGATCGCAAAAACCTAATTGTCAAGCGGATTCGCCGTTTAACAAGGTAATTGTTAAGCGAGGCACTACTGTATTTAGAAAAACTTTCTGAAGAATAACATTGTTATTTTGAGTGTAAGATCGGTATTATGGATACAAAGCAGTGTTTCTTTTGAGAGACACTGACCTCTGACCCCAGAGACAGCTCACAGCATTTCCGTGATAGCCAGACCTAACTGGCCTACAGTTTATGATCATGGTTTGTGCCTGCAGCCTTTAGTTATTAACAGCTTGATAGTCCCATTCTTGTGTAAATGAACCATTGTCTTTTTGTCTGCCATCTGTATTCTTACCTTGTCATGACTCTTGCCATCCTAGGGATATTTGTAAATATAGACAGCATATAGGTGCACCTCTTGTGTCTCAAGAAGTGGATTTTGATGTGCAAAACCTCACACAGCGGTAAATCCGTTCATCTTTCAAGTGCCACCACCTTTTTGCCTTTTTTGCTCTCGCTACAGCCCAGTGAACTCATGCCCAAGCTGAAAGACATGGCGGCGACCATGGATGGCTTCCATCGTTCCTTTGAGTATATCCAGGATTACGTCAACATCTATGGCTTAAAGATCTGGCAGGAAGAAGTCTCGCGGATTATCAATTACAACGTGGAACAAGAGTGCAATAACTTCTTGAGGACAAAGGTATAAGATGTTCTACCTGGCTGGTCTCTGACTTCTGTTTTGAGTGCATAATTCTGGGACATGGTGTGCAGCTGAATCAACTAAAAGTAAATCCAGCACCTTGAGTAGCTCCTTTAAAGTTCAGGCCAAAACCCAGAGCCGATTCAATGTCATCAGAAAATCTAAGTCATCGGCCTTCACTGGGTAGAGGGCAGTGATAGATTCTTGATAGTGCTTCTTGATCACAGCTGTTTCTTATACCTCACCAGGATTGCAAACCAGTTTAGACTGGTAAACAGGACTTTTTTAAAAGAGTGGGGAAGGTGTTCTAATATATTAGGGTCAGTATCCTGTTAAGGATTATCATGCATGGAAGTAATATTGCTGAAGCACTCCTAGCTGTTTGGCAAGGTGCCTGGCTGTGTGACCAGGGATGTAACAGGCACCATGAAATATGACAAAGACTAAAATCCTGTTGCTTACATAGTACGGTAATTTGTACTGAACCATTCAAAGGCCCAGTTGATTCAGATGGTCCTATTCTAGCTGTCACTTACTTTAACATAGTAAGTCACAAACAGAGTAGGCCCATTTGGATCAAGGGAGCTTACAGAGGAGTTGACTCACTAAACCCCCATTGAGTCATTGGGCCTACCCTAGTGCAGTTCACTATGCTAAGCAACAAGATTTTGGCCCTATGTCCCCAATATGACACAATGGGAGTTTGAGCCTTTGATCTTCTTCTTTTTTTTTAATTCTGGGGTTGCATTTTGGTCCCTAAGGATTGCATGTTGCCCAGCTCAGCATGAAATTAACTGGATGTGCCATGGCACGTAACTGAGCATCTTTTTGAGGAAATGCACAATGAAAGTGTGATAGCTAGCCTGCATGCCTCACTGTTTCCTTACTAAAGGAGACCCACAGATGGTACTTTTCTCAAATATGCTCACAAATTCTGGACACAGATTTTAACACCTGCAACTATCAGGTGCCATAGTGTCCTTCAACAGCCAGGATTTAAATTTGAAAGCAAATCAATGTTTCAGGGGGAAAATAGCTCACAAAAGTATTTCATCGCGTCTCTTTCAGATTCAGGACTGGCAAAGCATATACCAGTCCACCCGCATCCCAATACCAAAATTTGCACCCGTGGATGAATCGGTAACATTTATTGGGCGTCTCTGTCGAGAAATTCTGAGGATTACAGACCCCAAGTGAGTGTTGTATCTGACCTGCCAATTCTCACATACATTGGGGCATTTCTAGAAGCTTAACACTAGCATTAATGGGTCATTACTAAGTTTGTAACAAAAAAGGCACAACACACACATTGGCAAGTGGTGAAACTCATAAACTTTTTTTAAATAAGCCTGTCCCACAGATTGTTTTCTAGATCTTCATGTCTGCCTTTTCCACAACTGAACCTTTTTGGGTTTTTAGTTCATTGTTTTCCTGAATTGATTCCAACCAGTTAGGAACCTTGCAACATTTCCTCTAATTTTCAGCCCTGCTGTGCAGGATCCTCACCCCGTGCATGCATTGGGGGGGTCATCCAGAACTGGAAATAAATGCATGTCAACACTGGCTGCTGATGCGCTGCCCTGACAGAGCTCTGCCCGTGTGCAACTTAGAGGGAATTTTGGAACCCAGTAACCATTATTATTACATTTTCTCCTTAACATAGCAAATCAAATTGCATCGTGTCATCAAAAAACCAAATTGAAGTACAGTAAATGTGCTCCTCTTCATTTTCTCTCTAAATGGGAGAATCTTTTCACATTTTATGGCCACTCCATCTCCTGGAGATAGAATGGCTGAAATACTGAGGGTTTTTTAAAATGTCAGTCACACTAGAGTAACCAGTGTGTCACCTCCATTGATTCAAATAGCCCTTCTCTAGTTTCAACTCACTATGCTAAGAAACGGGATTTCGGCCAATTAAGTTTCATAGGAGAAGGTGCATTTGTTAACTATAGATATGACGGCTCAGCTTGGCTACTTGATTTTTGTTCCAACTTGATTTGGGCCTGGGCTTTTCAACCCTACTTTGTTCTGTTATCAAAGTATGCTTGTTCACCCTTTCCTTAGTAAGTCTGCCTGTGGCCCTGCTACGCTCTCACTGGTGTCTGTTTTCTTTCTACGTTATTGACTGCTAGGATTGCATGTTACATTGACCAGCTCAATACCTGGTACGATATGAAGACTCGCCAAGAGGTCACCAACAGCCGCCTGTTTTCTGAGATTCAGGGTGCTTTAGGCACTTTCGGCCTGAATGGTTTGGACAGGCTGCTTTGCTTCATGATTGTGAAAGAGCTACAGGTAAGTAGTGTTTGTAACGCAGGAATGGGCAAATGAGATTGACCAGTAGGTCACTGTATGATTTGGCAAGAGGCCACCAAGGATGGTTTTTGATTCCCAAGCATCTAAAGTTACAGGAACTAGGAAATTACTTCCCTCATCTCAATTTCTGAAGAAGACCTAGGGGGAAAACCCAGGAGTAGATGTTTATGTGGAAAGGTGGGTATTACAGATATCCCTACAAGGCAATTGAACCTTGTTCTGAAGGTAAATCACATTCAGTTTCAAAACTTGGCACATCCTTACCACACTCCTCCTTTAAAGATACCGGATACCATATTTTCCTGGAAATTTAGCCGTCGGGGCTGCATACCTGGGCAGGGGAATAGCCTACAGCCAACATGCCGTGTGTTGCCCATTTAGGCTTTAAATCATCGGTTCTCAGTCTAAGACAACAACACACACACACTATAAAATGTGAAGACATTGGGGGGGTTATTTTATTTAAATAATTAAAAAATACAAAACAAAACAAAATATATAACAATCCAAAGAATGCAGACTTGCGGGGGGGGGGAGGACTTAACAAACATAAAACAAAAACAGCTTCAATTAGACAAACAGTACACCCCTCCCCAGGACCATTTGGAGATACATTAAATCATTTTTCCCCATTACAAAGTCCCCATGCCCCTTCCAAAACTCCACGGAGTCTTGAAAAGGTACACAACCCATCCCTTTTATTAATACATACTCAATAAATGATTCCCCAAATACCACTAAAAATACTCTTTATTTATCAGATCCTTTAAAACTTAATATCAAAAGTTAACTTATCATTAATAGTTATATCCCATTCTTCTTTGTACCAATCACTTAACTGAAAAGCATGCTTTACTTCTCAAGTCTTACTATCATTAATCTTGCCACAGTTAATAAATTTGTTATTAGTGATTTTGCTGTCCAATCCCATTGCTCTCTGTCAAGTTTTTGATAAAATTGCTATCCTAGGAAATAACATCTACCTTTAGCTTTAGTAGTTAGCTTAAACAAATTTCTGTGATCGATTGATTCTGTTAGCAGAATTAGAGTTTCTCAAAAAAATCAATTTGGGCTTATTTGTAATAATATTCAATGTTTGTGTTTATTTTTAAATTTAAATTATGAAGTGGATTTTGAATAAGCTAGACTGAAGGATGGTGAAGAGGGGATGGGAAGGTAGGAAAGATTATCACATGGGATTCAGAAGTATTCAGGAGGTACTGGTCTAAGTTATCAAGCTGTAGAGCTGTGTTTCCCAACCGGGTGTGTGTGTCGCAAAGTGTTTTCTTGCTGATGTTTTCCTTCCCTCTCTTCTTCTATTGTTCGCCTTCCATCTTGTACTTGTTTATTACGTAATACAGTGGTGCCTCACATAGCGAGGTTAATCCGTTCCGGATTAACCTTCGCTATGTGAAAACTTCGTTAAATGGAAAGTAAAAAGCCATTGGAACGTTTAATGTGTTCCAAATCAGCTGAAAATTCACCGTTTAGCGAAGTTTCCTGGGTCCGGCAGCCATTTTCGCGCCCTCGGTAAGCGAGGGGAGGGTGCGAAAACGCTGCGCGTGGCCATTTCGGGCGTCCGGCGGCCATTTTGGAGCTGCCGAACAGCTGATTTTCGGGCGTCGCAAAGCGAAGATCGGTAAGCGAAACCCTTACCGATCCTCGCTATGTGAGTTTCGCCCATTGGGGCCGACACGATGCCTCCGCATTAGCGATCCCGGAAAAGGGATCGCTATGCGGATTCGTCACTATACGAGGCGCTCGTTATGCGAGGCACCACTGTAATTCTTTTTATATTTATCTGTGTATTTCAGGGGTCAGGGAACTTTTTTACCTTTTTAAAATCTTATTGCTTCATCTTGGATATGAGAGCATCAATATTGGGGCTCTGCTCATCCTCATTATCCCTAGGATTTTCATTTTTACCCCATTTGGGGTAATCTACCCCTGTTCCCTGGCCACTGGTGTATTTTATGTTGTAAGCCGCCTAGAGTGGTCGTAACTGATCAGATAGGTGGGATATAAATAAAATAAAATAATAAATAAATAAAATATTTTGTGGTGGGGGATTGTGGGTTGCCTTATATGTGTTGTAGCCCTTGTTAAATAATTTCTTTCACAGCAAGATACTGTACTAAAGTTATTGTCTATGTAAGAGAAAGAGAGCCTTCGGGGGAGAAAGAAGGTTCTACTTTCTGAGAATGGATTACTTTACCCCAATAAAAATAACAGTGGTGGGGGAGTCACATGTTACTTGGCTATTATAAAACAGGGTTGTGACTCAAAAAAAGGTTGGAAACTACACCTATAGAGGCTCTTTCTAGAACATGATTTTCATTTATCTGTGCCACAAACCTGTTGCGTCAGGACACCATTATACCCATTTTACAGACTGCAGAACTAAGGTCTCTCCAGGAGAAACAGGAGAAGGAATTTCTGCTTGCACCCTGCTTTTACTGTTAATATATTTTGCTGTGCTCTGCCCTGTTCACTGCTATGCAAGGGAGCATCCAGTACAAGATCAGTCCGTTGTGCCAAAAGTGTGTTCAGCTCACACGTTGCTGTTGGGTTTTTTTGTTCTTTTTTTTAGAATTTCCTCAGCATGCTTCAGAAAACAGTCCTGCGTGATAAAGGAGTACACGAGGCCCTGAAATCTCTCATGAAATCTGTCAGCCCTCTGAAAGGAATTGTGGGTAAGATCCTTCAAGGAGATGACCAGGCTGAAAGTGAGATACTCAGGTCAGGAGTCAACCACCTTCGAAGCTCTTGTGTTTGTGCAAGCTACTGCTGGAAAAGCAATAACAAGAGTTCAAAGAGGGAAGTGTTAGTTCTTACAGCTATGGGTAAAAACCTGTTTCCAGCCAAGGGTCAAATTTCCTCAGGAGTAAATTGCCCAGGGCTGCTTGGTGGGCAATGTGTAGAGTTGAAGCCAACAATGAATTAAATCTCAACAATAACACCTAACCCCTTTTCTCTCCCTCTCTCTCTCTCTTTGTCTGCTCCCCTTCTTTCTCTCTGTCTCTCCTTCCGCTCTTCACAAAGTTCTGGGGAGAGACAAGATCTCTTTTTTCAAATTGATCACCTGTAAGAGTCATTTTGAAATAAGGCTGCGATCTGCCCACTAACTTTATAGATTTTAACACCCAGGTATACAGTGCTTCCCATCTTTAACCACAATGGGGTGCTTATGTTTTCCAAACAGAAATTATTTCTGCGTAGAAAAGGCATCCCTAAGATTCATTCTGAGCAGCATGAAACTGATAGAGGGTCACCTTACATCATAGCTTTCAAGGCTCCCGTTCAAGAACTTCATTACTTTCCGATGATTTTCTTCCCTGCAGCCAATTCGGTCAAAGTGTATTCTACAGCAGTAACCAAAACTCAGAAGATATGGGGTGGCTACCTTGATGTGATTATGAAGGTATGTTGATTCTAAGTTACTCTTTGAACAAAATTTCCCCTAAACAACTGTGATGTCTGTTTTAAATTGTATCTGATACAAAAACTGAATGGAAACTACATGTAAACATGGCTTACAAGAGACCCAAAGATCAAGGGGTCTTGTGATTTATTGACTCCCTTTGGTATCAGTGTGTTGGCTGTTACAGCAGCTCCACTGGCTACCAATCAGTTTCTGGGCACAATTCAAAGTGCTGGTTTTAGCCTATAAAGTCCAAGCTATCTCAAGAACCACGTCTCCCTTAATGAGCCTGCCTGGATGTTAAGAACATCTGGAGAAGTCTTTCTCTTGGTCCCTCCACCTTCGCAGGCATACTTGGTGGGAACATGGGAGAGGAGGGCCTTCTCTGCCACTGCTTCCAGACTCTGGAACTCCCTCCCACAGGAGGCCAGGCTAGCCTCTGCTGTTCTTTTGCAAGCAGGCAAAGATCTTTTTCTTCAGACAGGCTTTTCCTTAGTGACTGACCACCAAGGATGGTTTATATTTTGTTGCTTCTAA